GTCGTCCATCATCAATCATTGTAGAATGGTTGTTTAGTCTTAAATTTCATAGGTCGGTTTGTCTTGACGTCCTGAGTTTAAGCTGGTGGTTGCTTCACCAAAAAAATGTCTCATAATTTATGAACCTCGACTGAAATATCTCAGGGTGTCCTTTGGTCACATTTTGTTTTTATTTTATATTAAATAATAATAAAAAATATCACAACATATAAAAGTAATAATAAAATAATTCAGAGTGGAACAATTCAAAAGTTCAGTGAGTAAATTAGAAAAAATTAAAGTATAATAAATAAAATAAGAGAGAATATGGTTCAACAAGGAATGGTGTAATCTATCATATTTTTTAAAATTGTAATTTTCTAAAAATTGTCATAAGTAAAAAAACACAAAATCATTGTAACTGATCTAATGTGGGCAAAATAGGCAACAATTCAGACAAATAAATTATTTAACTCAATATGATAGTCTAAACTTTATTTTGAGATTTACGATATTTGTTACTATGGAGGACTAATTCGTGAGGGGATTATGACGAGTTTTTAAATAAAATAATTTTTTATTAAAACTCGTCATATGAGAATAACAAATTTCAAAAAATATATATTTTATTAGAATTTATCATAATAGAGTGATAATTTTTTAATAAAAAATATATTTTACTAAAACTCGTCGTCTCGAATTTCAAATAATGTAACGATTATAGTAGCTTGTTGATTAATTTCTAAGCTGTTCTATAGTAAATAATTATTCCACTTGAATTATTAGGTTAATTTTACTTTTGATGTGGGCCTTTATACTGCCCACAACCCATCATAATGATCGATCTCACTGGTCACAATCATTGTACCAAATCCAAATTCATTTTTGTTTTTTATTTGTCTTGAACCACGGCATTAAAGTCTGGTTTTTGAGCCATCTCCATCCTCATAATTTTACTTAAATCTCCATGAAAGCTCTTGCAGCTAACAAGAATCATGCTTGTCTGAAAAAGAGGAAGAAGACGGCTCCTAAAAATCAGGGGCGGAGCTATAAAATTTGACTTGGGGTGTCAAATTTAGAAAGGGTAAATTACAGGATTAGTAACCTCAATTAAAGTTTTATACATTTTTTATCATTGAATTCAGAAAATATAATATTTTGTCACTTTCATTTTTATTCAATTATATGTGATCACTAACTGACGGTAGACATTTAACGGATTACTGACGTTACATAGTAAATTTATAAAAGATAAATTAAACACGAGTAATATTGTGCTCATAGATTTCGTGTGTGCGAATAAATGATACGCTTCAGATTGGGAAGTAAATGAAGACGTGGAGTGGGCCCTCCTCTTATTTAATTTATTTTTGTTTGAGTTCAAATTTTGTCCCATTTAATAAAAGATCACTTGTTAAATTTAAATTTATTTTTTATTTTTTATTTAAATAAAAAAGATTAAATGTACATTTTTAAACTTATTTTTTTTCTAATTCAATTTGTTCCATGGATTTTAATTAATTTCAAATATAAGTCATCTTTTATATATATATATATATATTTATTTATATAGGTAAATATTGTACATATTTTTTTTTTTACAAAAGATAGATTTTGAAGACATCCCCATGCAGTTCACTTCTCCATCCATTATCATGTCTGTCCCTATATGTTTGTACTATTGAGATTCTTATAGATAAAGATGTTTACATATACCTAAAACAGCTTCATGCATGTTTGTTTCAATGAATTTAGGGTACATTACACGTTTAGTGCCTAAAGTATTAGTTTTAATCCATTTTAATACTTAAACTTTCTACTTTTGCAAAATCATACCTAAAGTTTAGTTTTCGTTTCATTTTAGTACCTATGTTCAAAATTTAACGTTAAGTTTTGAATTTTTTTTTGAAAGGTTAGGTATTAAAACGGACCAAAATTGATAGTTTAGATACTAGATGAGATAAATTTTTAATGGTGGAGGTACTAAAACTAAACAAAAACTAAACGTTAGGTATGATTTTGAAAAATTTAAAAGTTTAGGTACTAAAACGGATCAAAACTGATAGTTTGGGTACTAAATGTGTAGTTCACCCATGAATTTAAGATGGGATTATAAGTTTTAAATCATTTGAGTTCAACCTACGAGAGAGAAGGTAGATTTTCAGTGAGGAAATCGAAGTATTTTTAATGCGTAGTTTATCCATGAATTTATGTACTAAACACATAATTTATCCATGAATTTAAGATTGAATTAGAAGTTTTAAATCATTTGAGTTTGGCCTATAGAGAGAGTGAAGGACCAGACCTGATAAGTGAGGAAATCAAAGTATTTTTCATGTAGGTAAGTGGTGATTGGTTTTTGTCAAGAAAGAGAAGGATGGGTGGTTGTTGAGGATGGTAAATGTGAGAATTGATGGGTGATGGAAATAGCTATGGGATGAATTTGAATAGAGAAATCATAATTGTTGTAAAACCACAATTCGAAACAAGTGTAGGGTCCAGTTTATAATTATATACATATTGTTAATAATATTTGAATGAAGGAGGCTTCGTCGTTGCTAATTTTGTATGGAAAATAACTATATTATCATTATCGAAATTTTCCTACACTCAAATCTAATAATGGATGGAGGAGTGTTATATTCGAGTTATATTTTGATGAACAAAAAATTTGACTCGATCTAACCCATAACTACAACTATATATAAATATATATACGAATGAGATTAACAGTAGGACTGAGAAGAAATTCACTAAAAAAAACAATGAGTCAATCTCAATCATTTATTTCTATTCATCTAATAGTCATAAATCTATTTAAAACTAAAATGTTTTACGTTATAGATCATATATATATATAATCTACTTACACAGTATAAAACTTTTTAATTTTACATATATTTAGGGCTGTTAGAGGAGTGAAATCAAAGGCTGAAATTGACTCATTTTTTTTCAAGTGAATATTTTCACATATCCTACTGTTAATCCGAGACAATTTTTTAGGATCGTTGGATGAGAGAAAATCAAATGTTGAGATTAAAAGTAGAAAATGAGAAGATATTCACTTAGAAAAAACAATAAATTAATCTTGGTCTTTGATTTCTTCTCATCCAACAGTCCTAAAAAGATTTAGTTTTACAGGAACATGGATGGAATGAAATGAAATTGAATCATCGTAGACACGGAGATGCCGTGTCCGGACATTGAAAGCTAGTCGTAAACCCTATAATTAGCCCTTGTTCTTTATAACATGAGAAAAGGAAGAAAGAAGGAAAGAAAACTCATATTTAAAACACAGACACAAGTTGCAGGCTTTTGTCCCATGGCCACTACTCTCATTAAAACTCTCTCTCAAAGTTTACTCACAGTTATCTTCTGTTTGTCGTGTTTTCAGTGCTGTAATAAACCAGACGGTTATTTATTACTCTTTTCAGGCTTTTCTTGTACATGGATGTTTGATTATATATATTTTTTGTTTGGAACGTGATTACCTTAAATACACTGGGGAACTAACCTTTAGAACCGGGCATATCAATGTATTAATAATGTATTTAAATCGAAAATTATAACCAAAACATTTAGCCAATTTAAATCGATCCATTCCGTCGTCGTTGATTGGTGTTGCATGAAGGAGGTTTCACTCAAATATAGCGGAGGCGGTGGAGTGTTTGAAAAAAAAATTAAAATTTAGAAAATTTTAAAGATAATTTAGATATAAAATCATTGTTAAAAGGTCTATATGTTGTTCTAGCAGTAATTTAGGGATAAACCTAAATATTAATCTTTTTAGGCACCGTTTGCACATCACAATATAACGGGACGATGGTAGAGTGACAATTTTGTTACAAATAAAAAATGTTAGTGATCAATTTGTTACTTTTAAAATTTTTATACAAAAAATAAAAATCTACTCAAATATTAATGATCATTTAAGTAGTTTACTCATGATTTTATCCCATAATCATTTATGTTTTTCATAGTTTTATTAAAAAAAATAAGGCTTATATAATAAATAAGTATATAATCTTGTTCATTTAAGTATCTAAAATATTTTTTTATCAAAATAAAGTTATCTTTTTAGATAAAATAGGTACCCAAAGTATTCAATTTTTTCATCAAAGTACCTAAAGTATTCTTTAATTAATGTCATATCTCAACTTTTTGAAACTTAGATGAAAAGTTTGAATAATTTAGGTACATATTTTGACATAAAATTAATTAAAAAATAACTTTAGGTACTTATTTTGACTAAAAATAGTATTTAAATGAGAAATAAAATACACTTTTGATACTTATATTTATGATATAAGTTAAAAAAATTTAAGCTCGAGTATTGTTGAGCTCGACTCGAATCAGAAACTCTTAAATAAAGCTTGAATCGTCTCAAAAACTCGCGAGCCTAAAATTTTCAAGCTCGACTCGAACTCAAAACCATGAATTAAAGCTTGTAAAAACTCGAACTGATATATAAAAAAAATCTTAAACTTAACTCGATTGAAAATCAAACTTAAACTCGAACCTGAACCTTAAATACATGAAAATCTTATACTGCATTTTTTTTAAAAAATTCAACACATAAATATTAATATTATTAATAATTTATTTTTTTAAATAAAATCTTAATATATTATATCTTCGAGTTGCTCGTGAGCTTTTTGAGTCAAGTATCAAGAAACTCGTTTTTACTCTTTAAAAATTTGAGTCGAATTCATTCAAACTTTAACCGAATCAATATTAAATAACTCACAACTTTTCTCATCTCATTCATCGATTTGTATATCTCATTTACTGACCAAACAATTCTATTAATGCGTCACTCAAGCACCAACATAAAGACAAATATTGTAATACTCGTATTAATAAAGCTGAAGAAAACCCCATCATCATAATTTTGAGTATCATTTAAATCTCCATTTATCTCCCTTATTTATTACCGATCTTTCACCTCCTTTCCGTTTTCCATTTTTGAGTTCAACTTTTGCTTCTCCTTCAACAGTATTCTAACTGTTGTTTCACTTTCAATTCCCAGCAGCAGTATCCAACTAGGGCAAATATTCAAAGCTTGAAAGTTTTTCAGATACAAACGAAAGGAGATTACTTGATGGTGATAATTTCAGAGCCGCAGCTCTTGAATTATCGTATTTACTCCCTTTTTTAGCAACCCTTTCTTTTTCAATTCTAACGGTTTTCTTCTAAGAAACAAGAGAGAAATACTGGGTTTCTGGACCATTTTCCGATGGATGATAGTTTGTGTGGGTTTTTCGAAGAACCGGAGTTCGTCGGCGACGATGATTTGTTCAGTATTTTTGAGAGCTTAGACGGACTCACTGAGTCGTTTCAAGTACCTCTCACTCCGTTTGAAGAAACGGCTGCTGCCGGTGGTGCACAGAAATCTGGTTCATCCGGTGCACATATGGAGTCCGAAACGGAGGGAACTTCGCGGGAAAGAAAGCGGCGGAAGGTGGTTTCTTTAGAGGAAACGACGGCGAACGTCGATGGACCTCAAAGGGTGTCGTATATCACCGTGGAACGCAACCGAAGGAAGCAAATGAACGAGCATTTATCGGTGCTGAGATCGTTGATGCCTTGCTTCTATGTCAAAAGAGTAAGTTTATGCACTTTTTTGCATTCTAAAAACGCTCCAATTAGGTGCTTATCGCGTTAGTGGATCAAGATTTGTATAGTTTTCGGTTCGTATTCATTAAAATTTTTTGTTGGCCTCGTGTTCGTCAATATAATTTGTTGCTCGAATTTTTAGTTGTTAAGTTCGTTAAAATTTTACTCGACTCGTTAAGTTTGTTGGTCTAATCGTTAAAACGTTAAAATAATAATTAAGCATACTGTATTTTATGTTTTAGGGGGATCAAGCATCGATTATTGGGGGAGTAGTGGATTACATCAGTGAGTTGCAACAAGTTCTACACTCGCTCGAGTCGAAGAAACAAAGGAAAGTTTACAGTGAAGTGTTGAGTCCGAGACCGTCTCAACTCAGTCCGAGGCTGAACTTGCTGATAAGCCCGAGAACACCTCAGCCCAGTAGCCCTTACAAGTTGCAAAAGGCCGCTGGTTATCTGTCTCCCACCGTGGCGGCGGCGCAGGCTACAATTCCGCTCGAACCGTCACCGACTTCCTCCACTTCCTCCGTCGACAACAATGAGCTCGTGGCGAACTCGAAATCTCCGGTCGCCGACGTGGAAGTGAAGTTTTCTGGCCCGAATCTCGTTTTGAAGACAGTGTCGTCTCGGATTCCCGGTCAAGCTCTGAAGATAATCTCTGCTCTTGAGGAGCTCTCACTCGAAATACTCAAGGCCAACATTAACACCGTCGATGAAACCATGCTTAATTCCTTCACGATCAAGGTAAAATCTAAAAACTAAAATCCCTTAACCAAATTCTCTTTTCATTAAGCAAAACATCGTTTTCTGAAGCTTGTTGCAGTAGTTTTCAGACAAGCGTTAATCTGACATCGGAGTACAGCAACGGTACTTTGCTGTAAAAAAAAGGCAAATTTACTCACAACTCTTTGAAAACACGACCATCATAAGCTTTTCCCTGAAAACTATGGCATCTTCTTCGGTCATTTTCATGCAGTAATTATGTTAAACCAGTTCTTTAAATAAATTTAGGTTTGGGGTTATGCTGATGGTGTAATTATATTAAATTTTTGGCTGAACTACATCTTTAGTACCTAATCTTATCAGTTTTGATCAGTTTAGTACCTAAACGTTTAACTTTTTCAAAAATGTACCTAATGTTTAGTTTTAGTTTCATTTTAGTAACCCGTTATAAAACTTAACGTTAAGTTTTGAAAAAAATTAAAAGTTTATGTACTAAAATGGATTAATGTTGATAGTTAATTTAGGTACTAAACGCTTTAAGTTTTTAACGGTAGGATACTAAAATGAAACAAAAACTAAACATTATGTATGATTTTGAAAAGATTAAAAGTTTAGATATTAAAACGGATCAAAATTTTATAGTTTAAGTACTAAGTTTACCCTAACGTTTTTAATTTTTAATGAGCAGATTGGAATTGAATGCCGGTTAAGTGCAGAAGAACTCGCCCACCAGATCCAGCAAACGTTCGGTCATTGCTAGGTCTACTCGGTCGATCATAAAGTAGAAAATACTAAATAGTCATTAAACTTTATTAATTATTATTATTGGTCATTAATTTTATCAAATCTATCGTTATTTTACAATATGTAGGAATCATTTTAGAATAATTCGATAAACTTAATGATCATTTTATAATTTTTGAAATTTTAGTAATAAAAAAAATAATTTCAATATAGTTTAGTGATTGTTTATGTACTTTACCTTGTATCATATACATTGAGAGAGGTTTCCAATTCAGTGTTCCTCTATGGGAAAATGGCATTTATCTTTTCATTTATGTTTGACGAATTACATGTAATTGTAGATTAATAATGTTAATTATCATGACTTGCACGCATTAGCTAATATATAATATTAGTGTAATAAGTGCAACCTATATAATCCATCCATACCTTCAACTTATAATAAGCATAAGCCATCGCATAAGACACACGAGCCGTCATGGTCGAAGTTTTTAAACCACCGAGCGGGCAACGTGGATCATCGGCACCTGATCATCGACGAACCCGAGAAAAGAAATTCTTTCAACAATGTATGCATAACCGACGCAAGTTTTTAGTGTTTCCGAGAGTGTCGTACCGTTTAGTATTAGCAGAGGGCGTGGTGCGATAGCTGGAATCGAGTATGGTGAATCGAACTTGGAAGCTAGATCGGGAGCAATCCTATCCCAGACCTTGTCTACAACTTCTTTATCAATGGCGCTCTTGCCTAGATCAATCTTTGCCACTGAACGAAATTCATCAAAGAGACTCGGTAACACAAGCTACTTAACTCGGCTACAATCATGTCCAAGATGACAGCATTATATTCAGCTATGTTACAATGAATACTGAGTACATCATCTTCGAATACGGGCTTTATACTGTCGACACGAGCCTGCCATTTGTCGTTCTCGATGGCCCACTGGAATCCCTACATGTATAACATGAAAGCTTTGTTTCTGTTCTTCATTTGATTTTCTATGCTTTCAAGAATCCATAAATTTTTTGTTACCTGAACACCAATGATTGGAGCAGCAACCGCATAGCGAGTGTCAGCAAAGGCAGCAAACCGAGCATGCATCCCTACATTTTCATGATGTTCACTTGAACTCTATATGCCACATGTGTTACATAATCTCGAATCGAATTTAACTAACCTCCGAACGATACACCGGTGATTCCGATTCTGGTAGGGTATATATCTGTCCTCTGTGTTAAATAATCTGCTAGCTTTATCAAATCCTACACCTGAAAGAACGAAAACCTTGGATGAAACAGAACACTGGGAATTCAACCATAACAATCCTGATTAAGTTAGAGGAATTAAAACGAAAACTCTGAGGAACTACCGTGTCGAATATAAACGGCATCGTATCTCCATTAATCCATGATGAAACTAGAGCCTGTGCTTCAAAGTTATCAGTTAATTAAAACCATATCAAAACTAAAGGAAGATCGGATACAGAATACGCAAATCTTGATAGGTAGTGAGATTGTGAGCACGTTCACTGTGGTACCGAGAGTCGATAGCGACGGCGACGTATTCCCTCGAAGCATATGGCTGAAACAAAAACCAAAGGTGAGAAATTAAGTGAAAACGATTGAACACACACATAGTAAAATAAGAGCTAATGTGGAAGAGCAGAGATGTATAGCTGCTACCTCGAGAAATTGCCGCACCGACTCTTTGTTCATGCCGGAACTACGCAGAAAGACAATAGCAGGCCTTCTTTTTAGTTCGCTACCTTCCAAGCTTAAGATCAACACAGGCAACTTCCCCTGATCTCCAGCCTATCAGCAATAGCGATAAAGTAATTGAGCTTTCTTCACATACATACATGCATACATACATACATACATACATACATACATACATGCATACATACATACATGCATATGTATATACATACATGTGTGTGTGAAATGCTAGTAAGAAAGAATCCATCTCAAGAAACATTGCTCAAAGTGTGTAAAGGTTGTAACGTTGATACGTCGTTGATTAATGATGATATTTTGCGTTGATTGTCAATATGGAAAGAGTCATGCCTTGCGATTCCCTACATATCATACTATTTATAATGATTCGTTTTACGGGGAACCCCGCGCGTGATGTTCAATGGCTTTCGCTATTATCTATCGTGTGTTGATGCTTGTAGTGAGATAGGGACAGAGTCAAAATTAGATATAGAAAAGGGTTGAAATATTTTTTTTTTTTAAAATGCAATAATTTATTAACTATTTAAACTTAAAATTCATAATAGAATGTTTAATTTGTCTAACATTTAAATTTATAATGACTAAATTATTATTAGACTAAAAAATTGAGAACGTGAATTATCATCAATGGCATATGTACATTGAGGTTAGGGTGGGCACATGTCAATCGTAAAAATTTTTAGAATTCGAACTTTCTTTTTTCAAATTCCAAGTTTTTTCTATTAATATATGTGTGCTCATCTTGAAATTCTATGGTATCCAACTTGAAATTTGATCGTATCTACCTAGATGTAAAAAATTTATAATATTATTAATATATGTGTGCCTACCCTAAAAAAAATTTAGATCCATCATTGATTATCATTATTTTGTCCGGCCCCTACTTAACTAAATATTTAATAAATTCTTATATATTTTTAATTTGAATATTAATTTTTTCATGAACTAAAATACTATCATATCAAAATTTATCTTACATACACAAAAAAATTACAGCGGGTCCCAAAAGAGCTCCGCCCCCATGTCATGGTGATGTAAAGATAACGTTGTTGTCGGATTTTTTTTCAGACGTCGACGAAGGGTATGTTTGTCTATCACCGGTCCGGTGCTGGTTATGTTGCTGGGGCCCTACGTTGGTTCCTCGTGCTTGATTTTCTGAAGGTGCCGTGGGAAGCAAGGTATTACATGATAGGTTATGCCTCCCGCGGTAAGTAATGTGAAAAGTTATCGGGTCATCGTTAGATCTTTGTACTAGCTTTGTCGCCAGACAACCTTGGCTATTCCGATGTGCGCACCTGTAGTACCCTATGCGAATCCAAATATAACAAATAAGTACCTAAAGTATGTTCTCTTTTTCATTTAAGTAACTAAAGTATTTTTTGTTCAAAAAAAAATACCTAAAATTATCTTTTTAGTCAAAATAGGTACCTAAAGTATTTTTTTAGATCAAAATAGGTGCCTAAAGTATTCAATTTTTCATCTAAGCACCAAAGTATTCTTTAATTAATGCCACATGTCAACTATTTTAGAACTTAGATGAATTTTTTGAATAGTTTAGGTACTTATTTTGACAAAAAACTTTATGTACTTATTTTGACTCAAAAATACTTTAGGTATTTAAATAAAAAAGAAGGTATATGTTAGGTACTTATTTATAAAGGTATACTTTAGGTACTTATTTATAATGCAAGTCTTTCACAAAAACTAGCTTAGTTCGGTTAAACAATATTCAGGTAAAATACATCTTAGATCACTCAATTATCAAATTGATTATAAACATATCACTTCTTCTAAAAATTATAATTCAGTCACTCAATTACAAACATGTCATTATCGTTAAATGTCATATGGCATAGTGATGTAGCATGATATAATAACAATTTGATCCTAAAACTTATATATCTTATCAATTTAGTCTTAATTCAATAAATTTAACCCTTCATATTTAAAAAAATCTATCAATTTAGTTTGTTCTTCTCCTAAAAATGTTATATTACTTTCTTGTATCAATGACAATTCAACAATAACTTGTTATTGCTTTACGGTAGAATGCAATTATTTAACTGTTGCTTTGATCTAATGGACTTGTTTGGTTTAACATAGTAAAAAAAAGGACTAAATTGATGATATTTTAAATAAAAGTTTAAATTCATTGAATTGTTTTGAATTAGGAACAAATTGATAAATGTATAAGTTTTGGGACTAAACATATTAGGTAATTTACACATAAAGTACTTAAACTATCAATTTTGGTTCGTTTTAGTACTTAAACTTTCAGTTTTTTCAAAAACATACCTAGAGTTTAGTTTTGATTTCATTTTAGTACCACCGATCAAACTTTAACGTTAAATTTTGAAAAGATTGAAAGTTTAGGTACTAAAACAGACCAAAATTGATAGTTTAGATACTAAACGCATTAAATTTTTAACGGCGGGATGCTAAAATGAAATGAAAACTAAACTTTAGGTATGATTTTGAAAAAAAATTGAAAGTTTAGGTACTAAAATGGATCAAAACTGATAGTTTAGGTACTAAATGCATATTTTACCCAATATATTATTATACAATCTATGATTAAATTGTAACTTTTAGAAGGAAAATGACTTATTTGTAACTGAACTAATAATTGAGTGACTAGTTGTAGACTTTACCCTAAATATTAATCGTATAAATATATAGGCAAACCTGGGATATTTTGCTCCGAGGATATCCTTTTGTCCATATTTTCACCAACTGAAGCCATCGCTAAGAGGTCCTTCCAGGGCTGCAGCGGGTCTCACTCGGACTCGTTGTGTCCATCTCGGCTGTGTGTTTATGAAGAAGAAAAAAAATTAACCAATAATATTATAATGATTAGATTTTTATTTTTATAATTAACCTTTGGGTAAAATACACAGTTTATCAGTGAACTTTACTCTATCATATTTTACTCATTGTACTTTTAATTTTTTTTATTGTGTTCCCTAAATTTTACGGATTGAATCATTTTGTTCACTCTGTCGTTAATTCTCTAACGGTGTGATAATGTGTCATTTTTATTATAAAATAAAAAGGGTAAATTACACCGTTCCTCACTGAACTTTACTCTCGTTCCTATTTTGCTCACCTAACTATAAAATAAAAATAAAAGATGGCCGAATGTCATCGTCAATTGCCGTAGACGGTGGTCGTTCGGTCCCAAATTTCATGAGTAGCTTCGCCTCGAAACCTTGAGTTCAAATCCGACCTTCATTTTGTCGGAAATTGCTTCGAAGTCCACGAATTGGAGATTAAAAGTGAGGAAGAAGAAATATTTTAATCGAGATTCACGGATTTTG